TATATTAATTTTGGAGGCCTGCTCATCGATCCAGCTCCTGAGATGGGGCACATTGGTGTAGGCAGCGGGGATATCTTTGTCGGCGCACTCGATGCCCCAGGAGACGATGCCGGCCAGCTGATAGCGCTTGTCTTGCCCGGCCATGCTGCAGAACAGAGGCGATCCGCCGTCGCCCTTGCAGGTGTCCTTGCCCTGGATGCCGCCAGCGCAGAGGAAGCTCGAGTCCAGCTTGAAGCGTCGCCCCAGCACTGTGCGGCGCAACAGCCTCTGGCAGTGCTCGTGCTCCAGCACGGGCAGATCGATGCGCTTCAGTATGTGCTCCATGCCGGGAGCCGAGTAATTGCGATGGCCCCAGCCGGTGGCAAAGCACTCCGCCTCACGCAGATCCTTCTGCAGCGCCGTGCTCTCGGCCGCCGGCAGGCAGAGCGGCTGCACGTGCGGCGCCAGCTGGAAGCGCCGCTCCAGCACCAGCATGGCGATGTCATTGCGAAAGTTGAGCGCGTTGAACTGCTCGTGGCGCCAGAGATTGCTAATGCGACGGCTCTGGAAGGCGTACGGCTCCTCGTTGCTATTCAAGTCATATTCGCCGGCCCGGGCCAGCAGCTCGTCCGCGCCCAGCTGGGCCACATTGTGGGCGCTGGTCAGCACCAGCTGGGGATGGATCAGTGTGCCGCCGCATATGTATTTGCCCTGCAGGTCCATCAGGGCCACCATCCAGGGGAACTCGGCAAAGCGCGCCTCGTGGTCGTTGTAGCCCACCAGGGCGTAGTAGAGGCCCGTCGGATTGCTATAGCCGCAGCCCTTGTACTTGAAGTCGTTCAGCTGGCGTCGCACTGGATTATCCCTCTCATCCAGCTGCAAGAATTTCAGTTCATTTGTATCTCGATTTCGAGATTTCAAGTCTCTCACCTGATCGCCAATCGGACAACAGCTCTCGAATATGCCGCAGCCCGAGTTGCTGGCGTTGTCGATGCGCGGCTTCAGTATGAATCGGCCGTCCTCGTTGACGGTGCCCGTGCGGCAGAGGTGCCGCGGCACGCACAGACTCCGCGCCGCGCAGCTCTTGTAGTCCAGCTTGGAGTCCACATCGATGGCCTGCTGTGGCGTCATCTGCTTCGATCGGCGCATCGCCATGCTGGCCTCGTAGCTCTCCAGCTGCGCCTTGTCGCAGCAGACGAGCCCCGCCCCACAGCCGCGGCCCAGTATGCGCGGTCCAAAGATTCCACTGCCCGAATCGTCCGTCTCGTTGCACCGCCGCTCGCTGATGCAAATCTGATCGCTCTTGCACAAACCCAGGCTCCAGCAGGCATCGCCCAGTAGCAGCAGCAACAACAACTCCAATAGACGCTCCATGCTGGACAAACTTGAGTTGTGCAAGGGCAACAATTTGTTCATCATTCAGAATTGTTTGTAATAAAAGGTAAAGAAGAGTAAAAATAAAATGTAAGATAATTAAAAGTAAATAAATAACAAATATCCATTGATAAAATTATAATAATAATAAAGAAAAACATCATTAATAATAATAAATTTTATAATAATAATAATATGAAATTTATGTAGTTCTCAATTTTAATAAATAATAATTAATTTAATTATAATAATAAGAATATAAAATTTATGTAATTCTGATATATATCATATGTATATATGTATATAATATATAAATCAATGCAAATGCGAATTACAAAGTGGCAATAATATTATAATAGACCTCGCTTGAAACATGCAAATATATGTATGTAATAAATAGGGGAATATTCGCAAACTGAGTGACGCATAGCGCAAACCTGGACAGAGTATAAATTATTAATCTAAATCACTTATAATACATGTAAGAAAATAGATGAGAATTTCTATAGCAGCGGCGACATATACTTTTATTGGTTGTCAATTATTTCATCACTAATATTATTGCTTTAAGATTTACTTTTATTGTTATCTCTATGCTTAAAAGCAATCAAAATGCATTCAAATTGCAATGCACAAATAATCGACAGCTGATAGAATCACAGGCAGCTATAAGATTCCAACAACTACTCGAATTTCATTGAATATTAAGTTGTTCACAATTTTGTATTATATTTATTTACTCACATACAATATTTCCGCTGCGAGACAGTTGAAAGCACGACTTGGGCTTCAATGGAATGCTGAGTATCGACTAAGTGTGGCAATCTGTTGGTAATCTATTTTATAGACACAAATTGAAAAACATTTATAGTATCAAGCAAGCATCAAGAGAATATTATTTTGCTTGGCTTGAATTGAATCACTCTCAGCTGATCAATTAAATGTCTATTGCGCTCTCTCTCTATCTATCTATCTATCTGTTACACTCTAACCCCTCTCTCTCTCGAGTCTCGAGTCAGCTTGGAGCAAAACAATCTTGCAAGCCGGTTCTATAAGATCCGAGAGTTCTATTTGTAGTCAATCAGTTGAAATTGAACGCGAATCGAATAGAGTCTACAAATTGAGCCTAACAAATTCATAAAAATAATATGTATGTTGCTCGTATTAGTTATATGTATATATAAAACAATTAAAATAGTGATGGAAAGTGAAAAATAAAT